ACAGCTGGTCGAGTTCGGAATAGTCGGGGCGAAACCCTGGATACGGAGCGGGAAACCAAAAAAAAATCAACACCTAATTAACGAAAAAGAAATTAAGTTTTGATCCTAGCTAGGGTCAAGCGTTAAGGTTGAACGTGCACATATATTTGTTGATAAAATAAAGAATAAATTTTTTTCGAAAAGATGTTTTTATAATGGGCGATTTGGATAAGAAAGGGTGATGAAAATGAAAGGTAAGAAGGGAGAGGAGGAAAGTGTGGAGGGTAGAGAGCACCTGATATGGGTGAACTTTATTCTGAAAAACTTGCGATCCGCATGCACTTGAAAAAGTTTGGTTCCTGATCATGATGATGGAGAAGATATATATATCAACATAGATACAGATGCGACACTTTTCAAATGCTCAATGTACCTTTCCCATTTCACATTTGAGGTTCATAACGAATTAAACTCTTTCTCAAAGTCTGGTCACACTCTTTTACTTCTCCTCTCCAATTTCATCCCAAGGGATATTGACAACTACTTAATATTATGTGGACTCCACTTAATTCTCTCAATTCAGCTATAAATTGAGTGCCCTTTTGATACTCTAACCAATCCCCCATCTTTTCTTTTTCCATTTTTACAAATTGACATTACAAATTTACTCTTCAAAAAAGAATTAGGAGATTGGTGTTCATTAGTTAGGTCTTTAAAAATTTTAAAGAAAAAATATTTTAAAATTATAATGTTTTAATAAAATACTACTAAAAAAAACTAAAACACTTTCATTTCTTATAAAAAAAAATTATTTTACTTTTCTATTGAAAATTTATTAAAATAGCATAGTTTTGAAACATTTTTTCTCTTAATTTTTAAAAACTCAACTAATAAATACTTTTCTTTTTTATTATTTTAAATTATATAATAAGAGTTTACTACTTTTTTATTCTTTTATTTATCATCTGTATGCCTACTACTTAAATTTAAGATCTCTAAAGAGGATTACCATTGGTTGTAAAGAAAGAAATCTTAAGATCGTATTATATAAGATGAAGTTTTTGAAGGTTTAATTGTAATTTAGAGTATGTTTGGTTCAGCTTCTAAATGTTTCAATTTTTTTTATACTATTTATGTTTCATAAATTTAAATTTTTCTCTTAAAAATTTACATTTAAAATTTTTTTTAACATTAAAAAGATCCTAAACAGTAAAAACTCAATAGTTTCAAATTTTTGCTTTTCATAAACTTCATTTTTACTCACTTTTTCCTATCTTTAAAAGTATTTTTAAAATTTTTCTTTCAATAAAAATTTAAATTTATTACTCATAAATAATATAAAAAAATAAAAATTTTTACAAGTTAACCTAAACATGCTCCTATTGTCATTTTAGAGACTGGTTTGAACAAACTCTCTTAAAGGCTTAAAAAGCCCATCTTTTTAACAAAAATCAGCATCCAGTCTGATCCAATATATTATAGCCTTGTTGCTCCAACATGGGCCCAATTCTCGAAAAGTTTTAAAAAGGGAAACATCACTAAAGAATAGAGGTATTACAGTCGGCCCATAAAAAGACAAAGCCCATCAAAAGGACCTATTCTCTTGTAAACAGCCCACCAAAAGTTGTAGGTTTGGATTTATCACAATTTTTTGAATAGAAAAATAATTATTTTTAATAAATATGAATAATTTTAAATATTTAAAAATAAAAAAATAAATAATTAAAATTTATATAACTACAATGTGTAAGACATGTGTAAGTAGAGTTCTACTGTATATATGTGTGTGTGTTTTGTAGTATTATCTCTTTTTTTTTA